AAAAAAAAAAAAAACTCTAACAGACCTGATAAACAGAAACAACTGGAACAACTGAGTAAAATTAAATTACATAATAACATATAGAATTGCCCATATTATTTCTACCTCACATTAAAAAGGAATCAAAGAGTGATTTAGTATTGTGGATTCAACTCACTCATGCACTACCTGTCAGATTCTCCTTTCTGTATGACTGTAGCTTGAGATGAATGACATCTTAGCCTGAGACATTTCTTCTGAACACCCACTTGGAGCTATTTTGTAGTAAATAATCAAAGAGTACCACACTTTTTAATTAAATCCTTCATTTATATATGTGGTTCTTTAACAAGGGTTTTCACCTAGCCTAAGACTTTCATGGAATTAAACATTTCAGTATCTCATTATAAAGCACATCTGCACTAACATAATAAACAGCTACACAATCATAGACTTACAACAAATAACCACAATACTAGCTAACATGTATTTCTTCCATATTAACACTTGGGTTAAATTAAAATGGTCATAATCAGGTTAGTCCCAGCAGTTTAAGGAGGAATGCCTTGTGGTTGAGAACATAAACTCTGGAGTCAAGACTGTCTGGGTTGAATTTCATCTCCACCAATTACAAACTGTGTAACTGTAGTCATGCTCTTTGATTTATCTATGCTTAGTTTTCTTCTCATCTGTAATATGAGGAAAACCAAGTATCGATCCCATAGGGATGTTGTGAAAATTAATCAAGATTACACAGGTAAAGGACAACAATAAGCATTCAATTTTAGTTATTACTACAATTATAGGAGTCCCTGGGTGGCACAAGAGGTTAAGTGCTGAACTACAAACCAAACGACTGGTGACTTGAATCCACGAAGAGGTATCTCAGAAGACAGGCATGGTGATCTGCTTCCAAAAGGTCACATAGCCCGGAAAACCCTATGAATCAGTTCTATTCTGTACACATGGGGTCGCAATGAGTCAGAATCAACACAAAAGTAACTAACAACATTATTATTATTACCCACAAGATCTACAAACAACACAAGACCAGTAAGAAAAACCAGCCATGGAATAAAACAAATTAATTCTGTGTTGAAATTCTACACATAATTTGTTCACCTTAAACAAAGGAAGATAATCCAAGTTCAACCTATGGTTTTGAATGTAGAGTTTATAAGACTTAGCAAAATCTACCTTCCAGTCATATTTAACTGTAAGGTATACCCTTCATGCACATGAACATGAGTGCCTGATAATAACCTGCCAACAAGTTTTACTGGGTACTTCTTATGTGCCCAAAGTCCTACAAAGGTTTGTTGTACTTAGGCCAATTCCCACAAATTCAGCAACCAAGGCCATAATCTTTATCCATCTAGGAATCAATAATCTAAGAACTAAAGTATATTTTTTCTCAAAGGAATGATCTACTGCTTATTAATGTAGAAAAACAGGTGTAAGTATCATAGGCTTATTCCCAAATTCTACAGTATAGCTAAAACACACTAAAAACGTAAGCTATTCTAATAGCTACTCAAAGGCATATTTTGCCAACTACGAATTCTGATCCATGTTCCTTGCAATATTTTTTATTTTCCCACTAGGCGCCAAGGATGCTTTTCACAGTAGAAAAATTACTTAATTCACATCATGGGATGAAAAGTCAAATGTCAAACTACCAGAAAAGCAAGCCAACTACCTGTGTAGGTTATACATTTCATATAATTTACTCATATTTTTAGACATTGTCAAAGGGCAAATCAGAGGCACAAGAGAAAAAGCCTCAATCTAACAAACGTGCTTGACTGGAAAGAGGCAACCTTACAGTTAGTAAATCTTTCTTGGTATCAACCTAGTTAACCTGCTACCCTTCCCTCATGTAACAAACACACGCACAAAAATAGGGTCTAATTACTTTTACTAGAAATTTACCCACAAAAGTGCAAAACACTTGAGGTCTGTCCTACCACCTATTAAAGCTAGATTTTCCCAAAAAAGTACTATACTGAGGTCCTCTGCTAGCAAAACACTGCATTAATATACCCTTATCTAGAGGTAAATCCAAGGGTATCCTTTAATGTCTGGAGTAGAGAAAGAATGTAAATACCTGGCAACAACCCCATCACCACACACACAAAAAAAGGTTTTTCCTCAGGGGCTGCAGAAAAAAATCCCGCAGGGCTCGGGAACTTCCCGTCTCCAGCAATACGAACGCCTCTAGTAAGTCCCAGAATCTCACATCCTTCCC